TCGGTTCTTTTGCATGTATACCTGTACACACATGTACATGTACATGTGTCATGTAACACGTACCTTATAACTTCAACCATGTACGCTATCAGTGTTAGAGAAAAAAGAACACAGCAACTCATGGGCTGAAAATTGTCCTTTTTTTTGTTTTTGTTATCAGGGTTTGATTGTAATAAGAAGCGCAGATTACGGCTGAACCAAGCTCCACACAACTTCCTGCATCACCCCCATGAAGTCATGAAGTCACATACGTGATTCTATAAATTAGGGGTCCAACTTGGGGACATTTTGGTGTCCTGTTACACGTGAAGCCAGTCAACTTTTCTTCATGTAAAATTGTAACCACATGATCAAACATTGTGCAGATTGAACTGTATATTGTACAGAACATAAACAATGTAATCCTGTTTGATCTACAGAATGTGAACAGTGCTAATATTAGTTCCATCCAGAAAAGCTGAATGGTTTCACCCGTAACAGAACACCAAAATGTGCCCCAATTTGGACCTCTAATTTATAGAATCACCCACATGTAAACTGGTGGATAAGAATGAACTTAAACCAACTGATATACTAGCAAACTTTGTGTGGGCGTTTTCCATGCGTAAGCTTTGTATCAGGAAGTTATACAGCAAAGGGGAAGCTGTGTCCACCAATGACTCACTCTTTCAATTGTCTGAAGAGAGGGAACTCCTTTGGATTACAGGCATGAGTGCACACTGCCGCTATCTCACAAAAACAGTGACATTCCTGACAGATTAGTACAGTACATGTACATGTACATGTACTGTAGATTACTCAAGCCCTTTTATAAATTATAGAGCTATTAAGTACATGTACCGTATATTAAAAAAGTGAAGATATATTTTTCAAACTCCGTTTTTATGAGATAGGCCTACATTCTTTCAAGAGTTTGTTTGATCGAGGCATAAATCCTGTTTGTTCCGATGAGATCTACATTTAGAAGGACAGTTTTGTTTTTGGAAACCAATCATTTTAAGATACAGTACAATTTTGCCAAGTCAGTGTTTATGAGAAATATGTTTTGAAGTTGGAACTACGTATTGAATTTTTGTGTGGTTTGTTTTCATGAGAATTGATCAAAGTTGATAATATACAATGTACTGCATCTCTTGAAAATTAAAAACTTGGAAAAAACATCTTGGAAAAACAAACTTGATCAAAAAGATACTCGTTTCCTAAAATCGTAACAATGATTCTTAAGAACGAACGAGCAAAGATACATATCGGTACTTTATAAAACACATCTCAGGAAAACAATCCTGAAAAATATGAGTACATATACATACATGTATGTACTTCCAAAAAAACAAACAAACAAACACACAATTTCTTCGTAAAAACGCATTTCAAAAATACACATGTAGCGGTACCGGTACTTTACTTTTTGAAACTTCACAAAATACCTGTAAACTTCACAAAATACCTGTAAACTTCACAAAATACCTGTTAACTTCACAAAATACCTGTAAACTTCACAAAATACCTGTAAACTTCACAAAATACCTGTAAACTTCACAAAATACCTGTAACGATATACATGTACATGAACCTTTTTGAAACTTGCTGGCACGACAGGACTTTCGCAGCCAAAAGATTCAAAGCAACACTAAGGGATTCATATCTGATATGTCGTGGATTTCATTCCTCTTATTATTAACTTTTTATGGGCATGGTACATGTGTACAAATCCAAGGGCACGTTTACCCAAGTTCACCCTACAGTGAACAAGTGCATACATGTACGGTGTACATGTACATGTACATACCGGTACATGTACAAAACTCTTGGGACCAACAGGTTGTTTCTGTCCAATTGGCAGGACCTAACGGTACATGTACATGTAATAAGAGGGGCAGAGCAAGTCCCCCTCATACATGTACTGTGCATGTAGCTCAGCTAATCCCTGGAGCCGAAATTCCACTGGCGATAAGATTGCTCGTGTCAGATGTGGATTCTGCCAAAGTGCACTGTTTGATCTGAGGGGTGTGGAATATGTCACATGGCACAATTTACTGAAACCTTGATGGCAACCTCCTTAGGCTGACAGCTTGGACTAGAGTGAAAGGAAGCATAGATTCACCATGTGCACAATGTACATGTACAGTACACGCATGTACACAATACCGTACCTGTAGGCCTACCGGTGCAGGTACATGTATATGATATTTCAAATTTGACCCACTTGGGATTCCCTTTAACAGTCATGAAATTATTCTCTTCATGCAAGAAGGGCCAATCAATGCTTTAGTGACTGGTATGTACGGTACACGTACATGTACGTGTACGGTACCACTACATTTACATGTACATGTACAGTATGTACATGGAACATGTGTACGTACATGTACATGTATTACGTGGCAGGACACATATACATGTACGTTCAGTGTCCAGATACTTGTGTGCATCAGAAATCGTCCCAAATGTGTGTATATATAGTACATGTACCCAGTATCCGCTACATGTAGCTGTCATCTTACAAGTATCATGTTGGCTTCAAGATGTTTATTGTACAGTAGTGACCTTTCCCACTTGTTCCATATTTACCTAGTCATTCCATCCAGGAAGTTCACCTTCAGTCATACCACTGGCATTCTGAGAATGCCAGGCAATTATCACACATCTCTAAACATTTCTGACTAGCTGAGGAGCCACAGGTCTACCTGTAGCTGACCTCTCACTTTTTGAGGCTGATCTTCACAGATGAACGAATTTTATATGTACAGTGTACCTATGTAATATTACATGAATGGATAGGTTTTCCTCAGAACTGGTGCAAGGGTACCGAACATGTACAGTGTACAAAAGGCTCTACAGCAACCTTGAATCTACGTGTACTGTATACATGTACATGTACATGAAGTGTCTGTGTACACCAGTTTGTTTAAATGTAGACATGTATGTACATGCTAATTGCAGAAAATGTATGTCCATATACATGTACAGTACATGTACAGTAGTTTTTAAATTATGTACATTGTACATGCTTGCTTGCAATTGACAGTAAACCTGGCAATGGGAAATTCTGTTCACCCTCTTTACCCAGGGAAACCACTCGCACTGTGCAAAACATGAGAATCTTTGCTCAGAGTATTGCTTGGAATTTCGAGCAAATTAGCCAAAACTTTGGAATAACTTTTAGCACTTGTAAGCACCTGTGTCGTGAGCAAAATCGGAGAAAAGGCAAACGAAATTTGGCACAGCAAGTGGCAGTGTGCTTAATGGAGGAAATGTTAAGCAACGGAGAGCGTGGGACGTACCGGTCGTCGGCATCTGGGTTGTGGTTTCATCGGGGATGACTGTGAGAAGTTAAAGTGATATCTTTTCTTAAGAAGGAGGATGTGCAATCACATGAAACTGGTTGTTTGTGTAAAATCTACATGTGCAACTGCAGCCAAATCAAGGACTGTCTAACCACGTATATACCTGTATG